CCCCCAGCCTCCAAAATCTGGCTGCCAACAGCCTCGGCCCCTTTGTCCCATCCAACAGCACTCAGCTGATCCGAGGCACCCACGCAGCAGAGCAGGACTGGCAAAGCCCACCTCCCGCCTCAGGCACCCAGATCTTCTGCAAAACAGACAATAAACTGTCCCCGCTTTGGGCATTCATGGGGTTTCTGGCTGGCTTATTCGGAAAAGCCCTGAAAGGAGCCATCTCTGCCCGTAGCCTTGCTTAGCACTGAAGCATGTGGACAGCAGCTTGGTGCATGTTCCCCAGACCAAGGCAGGGGCTGTCACTCAGGTAAAGGCTGGGGAAGGAGCGGGTCAGTAAGCAATAAGGGGTGCAGTGTGCTGAGGCAGACAAGTACCAGGGGCCTGGGAAGGAGGGAAGGGGCAGTCACCCTGTACGCCTGCCCTGTGTGGACCTCCTCTCCCAGCTGCGCAGGGGCTGCAGTCCCGGCAGACAGCCTGCAGTGCACAAGGAGACATGCAGTGCAGCGTGCAGCGTGCACAGTGCACAATGCATGGCTTGCAGTGCTGGTGCACACTGCATGGAGCTCAGTGCAAAGGGCATGGCGCGGGGCACACAATGCAGGATGCATGGTGAAGGGCGTGCAGTGCAGGGCGCAGCACAAAGACTACAGTTAATTGCACAGTGCAAGGTGCTCAATGCATGGTGCACCACCCAGGGTGTGCAGTGCAGCTTGCTGAATGTAAAGTGCACCATGCATGAAATACAGTAATGGGTGCACAGTGCAGGGTGCTCAGTGCAAGGGAGACGGCTCAGGGCACGCAATGCAGGATGCACAATGCAGGGTGCGCAGTGCAGGGTGCAGTGCAAGGAGCACAGAGAGCTGCACAGTATAGTCTGCACAGTGCAAGGTAATCAGTGCAAGGTGCACCATGCAGGGTGCACAGTGCAGAGTGCCAAATGCATGGCACATAATGCATGACATATGGTAATGGGTGTTCAGTGCAAGAGGTGCAGTGTAGGGTGCACAACAGAGGGTGCACAGTGCATGGCACAGCGGAAGGAGACCTGTTTGAGTTGCACAGTGCACAGCACACAGCGCAGGCTGCACAGTGCAGGTGCTCAAAGCAAGGTGCACCATGGTACACAGGGCAGGGTGCCAAACGCATGGCACACAGTGCACGACACCCAGTAATGGGGTGCACAGTCTGTAGCACTCAGGACAAAGGGCACAGAGCAAGGTGCACAGTGCCTGCTACACAACGTGTGACACAGCTCAGGGTGCACAATGCAGGACACAGTGCATAGCACAGTGCAAGGAGCACAATGAGAGTTGCACAGTGAGGGGGCACATGGTGCAGAGTGCATGGCATGTGACAGTGCAAAGTGCCCACGGCAAGGTGCACTCGCTTGCTGCACAGTGCATGGCACAGTGCAGAGCACAAGATGCACAGTGTGTTGCACACAGTGCACAGCACGCACCACAGCGCAGTGCACACAGAGCCCCACATCCCATGTTCGTTGTGAGATGCCCAGCCTCTTCTCTGCCACCTCCCAGGAGCCCAGCTGGTGGCTGCAAGGGTCCAGGGGACCTTCGAGCTCTGCAGGTCAAGGGCAGCCCCCATGCAGGCACCTCTGCCCTTGTAGAGTGGAACCAAGGCTCCCTGCTCCCGAACCTGTGGCATCTCATGCCCACTCAGGTAGTGGGTGGGCAGGACTCAGGCTGCTCCTGTTGGCTGCATTTTGCTGCCCACTGGGCGCTGGGAAGTCCCTCCAGGCCAGCAGCCGCTCACTGTAACTTGAGGGGGAAACGGCTTTCACCGTGGATTCAGCAGATCAACCTGGCTTGAAAAGGGCAGCATGAGGGGCACAGGGCACCTGTCACTGTCCCGCTGTGAGAATTGAGCCCGGGGCAGTGGGAAGCAAAAATGTTGTTGCCTGCACAGTGACAGCAACTGGCATGAAGGGGGGGCAGGGGGAAGCAAAGAAACCCTCGAATCGAGGGGGAAGCCTTGCTGCTCTCACCAGGAGCCCTCCAAGGGCAATGCCCAATGCTCACCCTCAGCACCCAGGGAAGGGCAGTGCTTTCCCATGGGTCATTTTGGCTCTGGCGTTTTCTATGTGTGAAGGCCAGGGCAGGACGATGCCTGCACCTATGCTAGGAATTGTGAGCTGTCTCTGCCACCCTGCTTAGCCCCGCTCACTGGGCGCAGAGCTCTTGGCTGCAGACAAGGAGCAAGTCAGGAAAGCTGCAAAAGCTGCAAGGAACGGGGAAGGTCTGGGGTGCTCCCGATTCACAGAATCACAGAATGGTTGAGGTTGGAAGGGACCTCTGGAGATCATCTAGTCCAACCCCCCTGCTCAAGTACAGTCACCTGGAGCACATTGCCCAGGATCCCATCCAGACAGCTTTTGAATATCTCCAGCAAAGGAGACTCCACCACCTCTCCGGGCAACCTGTGCCCGTGCTCCGTCACCCTCCCAGCAAAGAAGTTTTTCCTCAGGTTCAGAGGGAGCTTCCTGTGCTTCAGTTTGTGCCCGTTGCCTCTCGTCCTGTCGCTGGGCACCACGGAGAAGAGTCTGGCCCCATCCTCTTGACACCCTCCCTTCCAATGCTTATACACATTGATCAGATCCCCCCTGAGCCTTCTCTTCTCCAGGCTGAACAGGCCCAGCTCTCGCAGCCTTTCCTCATAGGAGAGATTCCCCAGTCCCTTCACCATCTTTGTAGCCCTTTGCTGGGCTCCCTCTAGGAGTTCCATGTCTCTCTTGGACTGGGGAGCCCAGAACTGGACACAGCGCTCCAGGGGAGGCCTCACCAGGGCTGAGCAGAGGGGCAGGATCACCTCCCTCCACCTGCTGGCAACACTCTGCCCAATGCACCCCAGGATCCCATTGGCCTTCTTAGGCCACAAGGGCACATTGCTGGCTCTTGGTCAACTTGTTGTCCGCCAGCACTCCCAGGTCCTTCTCCGCAGAGCTGCTTTCCCGCAGGTCAACCCCCAGCCTGTACTGCTGCATGGGATTATTCCTCCCTAGCTGCAGGACCCTGCACTTGCCTTTGTTGAACTGCAGCAGGTTCCTCTCCGCCCAGCTCTCCAGCCTGTCCAGATCCTTCTGAATGGCAGCACAGTCCTCTAGTGTATCAGCCACTCCCCCCAGTTTTGGGTCATCAGCAAACTTGCTGCGGGTGCACTCTGTCCCTTCCTCCATGTCACTGATGAATAAGTTAAACAATACTGGACCCGGTATTGACCCCTGGGGGACAGCGCTAGATACAGGCCTCCAACTAGACTCTGCACCACTGACCACAACCCTCTGAACTCTGCCATCTGGCCAGTTCTCAATCCACCTCACCGTCCACTCATCTAACCCACACTTCCTGAGTTTACCTGGGAGGATGTGATGGGAGACAGTGTCCAAAGCCTTGCTGAAGTCCAGGTAGACAAGAATGGGAGTCTCCAAACTAATGCAGGAATCAGAGCTTTCCTTCATCACCAGCCTTGGAGATGCAGCCAACAGTGTCTGCCAGTCCCAGCCAGATCCATCACAGCCCCTGAAAGTGCCTGTGTCTCTTTGGTGGCTCTGGAGAGTGATGGTGGTGGGAAGCACGGACATATGAAAATAAGTTTAATACATCCCGCCTTGAGGAACTTTTCCAATAACATATAGGGGAAACCCAAGTTCTCTGTGCTCTGCGGGAGATGGATGAGCCCAGATCTTTCCTGGGCCATATAAATCCTGGTGCTCACCTCTGTGCCTTCTCCGCGGGGTGCGCGTCCTGAGCACCCGCACCAGGAGACACCCTGCACATTCATTGTGCTCTTGACAGTGTTCTGAATGCGGCAAGCACTCATCATTCCTCCTGGCAGCTCCACTTGGATTTTAAGAAGCTCAGAAGCCAAAATGACCCTTCAAAACGTCAATAAGAAGATCAGTGGGACAAGCACAGTAATTCTGGCCTGAGCGGATGGCAGAAATCATGGCCACAGCCTTGTAGCTCTGCAAAGAGACAGCACAAATCCTCCCCATGCTGAGAAAGCCTCTGCTCTAGTAATGCAATCACAAATATGACAGCTCGGCACCAGTCTGGAATTTGCTCTGATTTAAGCACTTGCATGGCTGTAAAATGCAGTGCTTTGTCCTCGCTTCCAGCATGCTTATCTCCATGGGCAGAGGGTCTCTTATCACCAGGAGGAAGTTTGGTCACTGTTTTTCTCAGCCGCCCCCAGGCAGAGGTATCCCTGAAGCCTGTTGCCCCTCAGATGAGCTGGGCTGGGAAAGGGCACCAGTTTGATTCATGCTGTAAAGAGCAGGAGCAGGTTATAGCCATCAACCCAATGGAGGCCAGGTGAGATATTACTTTCCCTGCTCTGGTTTTTATCAACCAGCAGTTCACTGGCCCCAAGGATGCTGGGATGTGGCTTCCCACCAGTCCTGTCCTGAGACAGAGGGACTCCTTGTCATGCTGGGCCAGCTCAGCCCTGCGCTGCAGGGATTCACTGCCTGACCTCACCGATCTGCTGATTTCATCTGAATTACAGCCGTAACTGGAAGTCTCATGTGAAATCCGCCCAGAAGCATGCCTTCCTCTTTAGCTAGTTGTTGCTGGCTGCAGTTAATGAAGTCAGTGGAAGTGTGGGGCTGCTCCGGGCCCTTTGGCAGTCATGGGGCAGCTCGGTCCTGGCTGCTCTCCCACCCCGTCCACATCAGCAGTGTCACGAGAAAGCCTCAGCCTGGCCATCAGAGCCTGTCGCAGGCACCAGGTTTGGTGTTCGCCAGGTCCCCAAGGACCTCTCCTCCTGCCACCCCCTTCCCCTGGGCTCTCAGCACCTTCAGCCAGGCCATTTGGGGCTGGACACACCAATCTGCTCAGCAGAGGCATCCTGTGGGTGCCCCAAGGGCTGCCAAAGTTCATCCATCTGCCCAAAAGCCCTTGGAGGAAGAGACCTTGGTGCTTGAGGTCTCATTTTTCCATAGGGACCCCAGAGGCTTGGCTGGCTCCCAGCTCCACTCTGGCACCCCCAGCTGTTTGGCAGGCATCTCCAGGATGCTCAGAGCCTCACTGCTCATGTTCCCCTTTTCCATGCAGCAAGGACGGCCTGCCCTTGCCCTATGTTAACTCCTGCCTGCCTGTCTTTCCCCTCCAAAAAAAAAAAAAAAAAACAGCCAGTTAGTGCTGTGGGGCAAAGTCTTGGTTCTTGACAGGAGAAAGCAGTGCAGCCTAATGGCCGTGCTGGGGCTCAGGGTTGCAAGGCTGTGAGGTGAGCCGTGCCTCGGTTTCCCCAGTTTGGGGGCGTCCACATGGGCCTCAGGGCAGAGAAGAGCTGGTGGGGCTGGTGAAATGGCCGAGCTGGCCTGGGGTCAGCCCAGAGCCCTGTGGCCCCGGGGTCATCGTGGCCCCCCCCAGCAGGCCGCCTCGGCCAGCTTAGCCACGCTGCCGGGCGATCTCGGCGGGCGGAAAGGGCGACAGCGATCGCTGATCCCCATGCCAGCGTTTATCTCCATGAGCGAAGTGAAGGGGGATTATTCACTCTCTCCTGACGAGCAGAGATAAACGTCATGTCAGAGATCAACCGGCGGGGATTATATACAATATATATGTTTGTCAGGCCCCGTTCTCCAGGGCTCAGCCTGCATTTAATGACAGGTACTGAAAAGTGCATGAAACATGTGGCCTCGGACCAGCTACAAGCACAGCTCTGCTTTTAATAACTTGTCAGCTGCTCTGTCACCCATGAAATAGCAAATGGCCCCAAAATGCTCCCACCAAACCAGCAGCAGGGATTTTCTCCAGGCATATCCTCCCAGAGCAGAGGGATGCACAGGCCCAGCAGGGGCCACTCTTCAGGCTGGCTGTGCTGCCAAGACACGCTGCTCGAGGGTCTTCAGCGAGGAGCTGCAGGGGTGGATTGCAAACACGCTCCCTTGGGTGCCCCCTCGTCTGCAGGGGAGAGAAATGGGTCCATGCCATCCCAGGCAGACAACTCCATAGCGAGGATGCTAGCAGGCCAATGCGTGCATCCCACGTACAGACGTGTCACTTCACAAAGTGAAGGCCCAAGAGGCGAGAGCCCAAAATCTCGTGGCCCTATGGGACACCAGCAGGCATGTTCCCCCACCACCTCTTACTCTCTAATATGCACAGCCCCTCCCCCCCAAAACTGCAGTCTGCTCCTGTCCTGATACCCAACTGCTGTCCCTGAAGCATCCTGTGGCTCTGCAGCTTGCAGCCCATCCTCACTGCTACTGGGGGTTGTTTCTCTCCCTGGGAAAGGAGGATCAGACTCACTGAAGAGTTTAAAACTGCAGCAGGGATGTTGCAGACTGGCAAGGAAAGAGCCATAAACCCAGTGGGGAGGCAACCAAGCACGAACCAAGCAACATGCACCTTGCAAGCTCCAGTATAGACCAGGAGGTCTGCGCGGACGCCAGGAAGAGGATGCCACCGTGTCCTGAGGAGATAGCATTCCAGTAATGCACCCAAGTCCTGCCCTTGCACTGTGTGCAGGGGTGCATGATCTGCTCGGAGCCAGCCAAGCCTCCCCTGCGCCGCCGGCTCATCACTGTCCCCCTGGAGCAGGGCTGCCTAGATCCCTCCCCTCCATCTCTGGGTGCAGGGAGGCACCAGGGGACAGCACAGGACAAGGCCATGTCATCCCGGCAGTGCAGGCCAAGGGTAGCATTTCCTGAGGATATTCAGCCCAGCCGTGCCCTGCCAAGCGCTGGTTCTTATGATGAGATCCATCACCTCCGGTCATGCCGCGATTAAGGCTCCCACAGGACCAACTGACGGGAAATGGGAGGCATACGCTCCTCGTGCTTCCAAATTAGAAAGAAAAGTTAATAATGGCAGAGAAGCTCTCCAGTCTATTAGCAAGAAACAGGGTGATTTATATCCAGCGCTGGAGGCGGTTAACCAGCCCTCATCCATTCCGATTAGGGACGGCTCCTCGCGCAGTCACAAGATGCACAGGCTACAAAATCAATGTGGAAGGAGAGCCAGGAGCGATTCTGGATGGGGGAAGAAGGAGATAGGGAGGTGCAGACCCATGGCCAGGACAGCAAGACCTTGCCACCAACCAGGTCCAAGGACCGGTGGTGGCCATGGCGGCACACAGAGACTTTGGTAGGGCACTGACCCACTCCACATTCAGCCCTTCAGAAGAAATGCAGGGAGCTGCTCCAGCTGACACAAACTCCGCGAGACTTTGGTGTTCATCCCTTGGTTCCAGCTGAGCCAAGCTGTTCAGTGAAGGGATAGACCTGATGGAGAAAGCGCTCATGTCTTTCCTGGAAGGGAAGCCATGCATTGCCAACCATGGCTGAAAGCAGCCCTGTTCTGCCCTGCTGGCCCATCCTTCCAGTGCACTACCACGAGGGCCATGCTTCACTACTGGCGATGCTCAGCGATGCTGTGAACAGCCCCCTGCAGCTCCTTGCAGAGTTTTAATTAAATTTGGCTCCATCACACTTATCTATCTCCCCCAAAGTGATTTGATTCTCTGCATTCTTAATCTGGGGGTTAGCCTGGCAATAGTGCACCACACTCAGGCTTAGCTTCCACCCCAGGGCCCCTCTGGACCACCCTGCTCAGCATCCAGCCCAATGTCTTTATTAATGAGCCCAGTTTGGCCCCCACAGCCACCCTGGTTCCTAAAACGCTTTCAGCCCAGCAGGCTCATGGGCTCCTTAAAGCCCTGTTACCATATGCAGCCCCTCAGGATCTCCCTAGGTACGAAAGTCCTGAGGATTTGTCCGGACTGCTGTATGTCCCTCTGGCGATTCCTATTCACAGCTCAGACAGAAATCCTCCCCCTTTCCAACCAGTTTGCAACCCCTATGGGCAGCAGATTGCCCAGCAGGGCCTGGACTGCACTTCCTGGCTGCATTCAGCTCTGTCTGCCACCAGAGAAGGATCCACAGAGGGTGCCAGGACCCTCCATTGCTTGGTGTGCCAGGTTTGACGTGGTTTCTTCTGCCACCTAGTGCCCAGAGCTCTGCTTTGTGGCTCTGTCCCATGGCTTTGTCATGGGCAATGAGGCTGGGAACAGCTGATCTTACCCTACGCACTCCAAGCAAGGAGAGGGGCTTCAGCCACCAGCCCTGCAGCCGGGGCAGGACTGAGAGATGCTGGCCCTGCCGGCATCCCCCATGGCCTGCATGGAGGCATCCTCTGATGGCATGGCAAGGCACGGTTCCTCTCCTGAGGTCTCCAGCCCTCCCAGCAAGGCTGCCCAGTGCTGCTGCTGTCTCACAAGGCCCAACTCTGGGGCGACTGAGCACCAAGAGAGCCTGCAGATGTTTCTGGGAACCAGAAGGCAGGACTTCTCCAAGCTCCTGCCTTGGTGGGTGAGGGTGCTGGGGAGGAACACAGCTTCGTCTTACTTCCCTGAGAGCATTTCAAACCAGGATGCTTTTCCTAAGGGTTTTGCCAAGGGATGGGGTGAGAGGAGGTTAAACCTCACTCTCAGGGTGTCCTTGGCTGCCAGAGCAAGCCAGGCGGTTGGGCACAAACCCAGGGCACAGCTCCAAGGGAGAGCCTCGTGCAAATGGAGGAGAAAAGGTCTTCCACGAGCTTCGCAGCACAACCGCATGATAGCGTGAAATCGCTCTCCTAGGCTGTGCCAGGCTGCTGGGGATGGGATTGGAGGGATGCATCTCCCCTCCCACCCATCCAGCAGATAAACCAGACAGGCGCAAGCCCTGCACTGAATGCTGCTGCTGTCCCCAGCCACCATCTAGGGTCCCCTGCACTGAAGACCATGAGGAAGCTGCAGTTCTGGCTCACCATCCTTGCTGGCTTCTCAAGGATCATGGCCCAGGAAGGTAGGGGCTGTTCTGGGGAACTGGGGCCAGTGTGTAGGCAGATAGCAGCGACAGGGACTAGAAATTAGAGGAGCATCCTCCCTGCCCCAGGACAGGTGCTTCCAGGGACTGCTAGGCCCCGTCCTGCAGTGATTGCAGCAAACTGTGTCTGCAGCCAGGGTGGTTTTGGCAGAAGGGGGTTTTGGACCCGTACACGGGCTGGAGGTGCCACTGGGTTACAGGCTCTGAACATCTCCGTGGAGTGCAGGGCACTGTGGAGGGATGCCAGGGCCCAGTGAGGATGCTCTCATCCAGAGGTACCCAGAACCTGATCCCAGCCCCAGAGTACTCTCAGCCTGGCATGTAGCACTTCCGAACAATGGCTCTGCTCTATCTGAGCCAAATTTTGCCCAGATTGCACGTCCAGGGTAAGGCAGCATTGTGCTGAACCCCGTAGTGCTTGCCACACCTGAAGGCCTGGCCACACAGAGCCACGCTCAGCCCCACACAGAATCACTCTTGGGCAGATCCTGGTGGTACCCAGCAGGAGTGCTTGGAGCTCTCGGTTTATGCAAGGGCCCAGTAAGCAGCAGTCAGTGGGGCTGGGAGATGTGTGCCCCTGGGGAGCAAAGCAGGGGCATGACTGGAGTCAGCAGAGTGGGCACTGGGGATCCAGAGTCACCTAGGGGAAATGGGAGGGTGCAAGAAGGTTGGGAGAGGGCAAAAGAAGGCTGCATGTCCTCCTGGCCGGGAGCTGCCTGGGCCCCAGCTCCCGCCATGTCCCATCTCTCATCTCCTAGATCTGTACCGAAAGGTGTTTGTCTTCCGGAAGGACCCTAGTGATGCCTATGTGCTCCTGAGGGCGCAGGCAGAGCAGCCACTGCAGAACTTCACCGTGTGCCTGAGGTCCTACACAGACCTCACCCGGCCCTACAGCCTCTTCTCCTATGCCACCAAGGCCCAGGACAACGAAATCCTTCTCTTCAAGCCCAAGCCTGGCGAGTATCGGCTGTACGTGGGGGGCAAGTTTGTGACCTTCCGCATCCCCGAGGGCCGTTGGGACTGGGAGCATGTCTGTGCCAGCTGGGAATCAGCCACTGGCCTCACTGAATTTTGGTTCAACGGGAAGCCGTGGCCCCGCAAGGGGCTGCAGAAGGGCTATACGGTGAGCGCCGAGGCTGTGATCCTGCTGGGGCAGGAGCAGGATGCCTACGGGGGCGGCTTTGACCTGTACAACTCATTCACAGGCGAGCTGGCAGACGTATACCTGTGGGACATAGCACTCTCACCAGACAAGATGAGAGCTGCCTACCAGTCCCTGCGCCTGCCGCCTGCCATCCTGGCCTGGAAGAGCTTGAGCTATGAAATGAAGGGTGACGTGGTGGTGAAACCCAGGCTGCGGGAGGCTCTGGTGCTATAAAAACAAGCCTGATCCAGGGCTGGAACAGCCTCAGCCCCCAACATCCCCCCACTGTCTGATCTGTCCCATCACCCACTTTACCTCCAAAGACTGTCCATACCTCCAGATGAACATGCCATCCACATGCCTCAGCCTGGCACACACCGGCACGGGGAAGAGAAAGGCTGTGCAACATCCCAGAGGACAACAGCTCCTGGTGGGAAGAGGGCCAAGAGCACCCAGCTCAGCAGGATCCTACGCAACAAGGCTCAGAACAGAGGTGGGCAGGATTGGAAGCATGCCACCTCAAGCCTAGAGAATATGGGCCATTTCACAGCCTGGCAGGTTCCCCCATCACTCAGTGAGGCATGACCTCTGCCTGCCTCAACTCACCTGGATTCACTGAGCCCCAGCACCTGTCACTGACCTGTCACCTCTTCCCCAGAGCCTTGGAGACCCCTTCCCTTCCCAAAACCAGCCCCGAACTGGCTCTGGCTCCCTCAGGAGGCCCCATTGGCCTTAGGATGGCTTCCACATGTCCAAGTGAACACCACAGCCCTGCAAAGAGTCACTTTCTGCTCCTCTTCAGCAAAGGATATCAAAACTGACATTAAAACCTTCTTCAAACACGTGAGGAACAAGAATGCTGCCAGGGAGACTGTGATCAGGATGAAAGGAGCAGTGAGAGAAGAAAAGGCAGCTTCAGAGCTGTTGAAAGAATGATTTGCGTGAACATCAGCCAGGGACAAGGCTGGGGAGATTCCCACCCTGAATCCTGCCCAAGGCCAAGGGCGCTTAGACTGAGCTGAAATTGGGGGCTCTGTACAAGAGGGGATGGGCTAAACCAACTGGATGAGCATGAATAAATCACCAGGACCAGATTGTATCTCCTGGGAGCTGTAAGGCAACCTGAGGATACAACAGCCAAAAATGTGGTGTGTAGCCTCTTGCTTACAACGCCCACAGCGCCTGGATGCTGGAAGGGGGCAAATATGAAGAAAAAGCTTTAAATAGCTCCCAGAGGCTCTGGGAAGAAGCAGGCTTTTAAGCCTGGTGTTTCCAGGGGGGCTGTAGTGGGGGCTAGAATTAGCAGATAAATGGGGTCTCCAAGCTGATGGCCACCAGTCAGGAGCACAGCTCTGGAGAGGATGGACAGGCTATGCAAGCCTTGTCTCAGCATTCAGGAGCTGCCTAAACACATATGAAATGCTGGGAGATATTAGGAATGGCTGAGACCAGCCAGTGGTCCTGCCACTGCACGAGTCCTTGGTGCCTCCGGGTCATGGTACCTAGCCTGATCTGGTGCCCTCATCTCAGAGAGGAGATAAGGCTGGAAGGGCTCAGAGGAGGAGATCAAAGCTGGTGACAGCGTCTGTATGAGGAGGGACTGAGCAGGCTGGGACACTTTGGCCTGGGAGACACCCAAGTGCCAAAGAGGGCTCCAAAACACAAGGTCCACTATTCCCACTCTCTGCCCACCCCAGAACAGGGGACCATAACCCAGCTCATAGGAGCCAGGTTCAAAATAAAGAGAAGCCAGTGTTACTTTACCACCAGGCAGCGACCCAGGGAACTCGCTGCCACGGGGAGTTAGGGATGTCTTTGCATTGACAGCCATCCACATGCAATGCCTGGACATCCTCAGGAAATGCGTTTCCAAAGCAGCTTGTCCAAACTCCTCTATTCCCTGAGAAGAAATGAGAAAAGTCATCTATTCCCTGCGACTCCCCATGCAGATGAAATATCAGCATCTCCCCTGCCTTAGGTCTTGGCAGAAGCCAGTGCCAGGGCTGAGCTGGGCTAGGGAGGTCTCATCTGTCTGCAAGGGCATGACTCACTCCTGCAGTCTGCTGCATCTTGTCTGTTCCTGGGAAGAGCAGGAGGACCCCGGTACATCTGCCCACTTCATTTGCAAACCCACCTCTCCCCCACCCCTGGTGCTTTCCCAGACATCACACTTCCTGCTCTCTCCATGCCAGAGGACCACACCTCCAGCTGGTATTTCCGCAGCCTCCCTTCAGCTCAGGGACTTCGAAGGCCTCAGTGACATCTCGTCCCCAAGGCCAACCACTCCCATAGGTCACTCCTTTCACCAGTCATATCTGTGTCCTAGCTGACACTCTCTAGTCTCCTGTCTCTGTCCTGTCTCTTGAGGTCCCTGGGCATCCCCAGGAGTGGACACAAGGACAAATGCTCCTGGGGTGTCCCTCCTGCTCCACCTTAGTCAGGACCACTCTCTGTCCCCAAGTCCTCGGTCAGGGTTAGGCAAAGCTTCCCCATGTCCCAGTTGAGGGTCTGTGCTGCTACCGCTTCTGATGTTGTGCATTAGTTTGGTTTAACACAGGATCTGCCTTGCCATCCTGCTGCAGGGCCTTCAGACATCCACGAGATGACAGGGTCCAGAGGGGTCATGCCGGCAGGGTGAAGCTTCTTACCTGGCAGTCCAGCAGCCCTGCTCCTTCCAGCAGGCTGCCCAGACTGGCCCCAGGCAGGCAGAAAACGACAAGACCTTGCTCTCAACCCTCCCCTCATCCTGTTGTCTTGACAAATTAGTTGAATTGTTGCAACCATGGAGTTTCCCATAGTCAGAGCACCAGGGCTTGGTGCCTGTGGGCTCAGCGTGCCAGTGCATCCCAACCAGAGGTTTTTGCAACCGTTTCTCAGCCAAAGGAGTGATGCCTTACTGCCTGTCCGAGGCCTGCCAAGCCCTGCCATGTCATTGCGCAGCCTTTCCAGAGGACCCTACTGCTTGTCCTCAAGCACATCCACATCCTCTACCCTCTCTCCAACACATGGCCCTGCTGTCCCTGGGCTCCCTGCCAGCCTGCTGGGTCTAGAGACTCCTAAGCAAATGGTCTGGTCTCTGGACCATCTCCAAATTTCCCAAAAGCCCTGTGGCTTTCAGCCCCGTGGCTGTCAGTTCCCCCATGCACTTGGATGCAAAGTTTGCCAATGAACGTCACGGCGTCGCATAGCAATGCTGTGATCCTGGCACACCCTCACTGCCCATGACTCAGCTCAGCCTGGGAAGCGCACAGCACCGTGGCCCTTCATTTCACCCTCACCCACGGAGGGGCAGGTGGCCAGGGGTAGTGGGGCACATCACTGCGGCTGAACACCATGGGGAAGCTGTGGCTTTGGCTCATTGCTCTCACAGGACTCTTTGGCCCTTCTGCCCCACAAGGTAGGGCTAGAGGGGCCGTACCTGGGAACCCAGAGGGGAAGGTTGGGAAGGTGCTGTGGGGGGTGCAGGGGGAAGCAATGGGTGCAGTGATGCAGGAAGATGCAGGGGGGCATGCAGTGACAGAGCAGGGGGGGAGCAGCACAGCACACAGCGCACTGCACTGAGGGTGCAGTGGGCACAGTGGGAGGTGCAAGGGGAAGGTGCAGGGAGGAGCAGTGGAGCACACTGAGCACTGCAGTGAGGGGTGCAGTGTGTGCAGTGAAGGGCGCAATGGGCACACTGAGCTGCACAGTTGGTTCACTGGCAGAGTGCAATGAGTGAAGTGGCAGTGCAGTGGCAAGCGGTAGAGCACAATGAGTGCTGCAGTGAGGGGTGCAGTGGGTGCACTGGGGGTTGCAGTGAAGGGTGCAAAGGGTGCAGCAGGAGATGTGAGGAAGAGATGTAGGGGCAGTGTAGTGAGAGCCCAGTGGGGCACACAGAGCACTGCAGCAGGGGCACAGTGGGGCAGAGTGTGGACACAATGCTGGGCACTGCAAGGGGGGACATTGGGCTGCCACAGGATCTGTGGCAGGGAGGAGTCCTGCCCACCCGGGCCCAGCAAGCACAGGCAGCGGCAGCAAGCAAACTCTGGTGCACTTGGGATCCATGGGTGGAGGCAGCCGCAGCAGTCGCAGCAGCCCAGGGAGACCTACCCCACCCAGCCTAGGCCTCCCCTCCCCATGCTGCAGAAAAAGTGACTGCCAGGATCCAGGCTCACCCGCCGGCACCCACCGAGCACCATCAGCTGATGTTGTCCTGCGAAGTCTCTGGGGACCCCGGGTAAGGCTCTTCCCACCCCTCCTGTCCCTCCAGCACAGCACTCACGGGAGGCCCAACACAAGGTGAGCAGGCTCCAGCATCGCCCGTGACCCTATGGGCAACAGGAAAGGAAGGGGCCAGGCTGGGGCCAGAGGGGCTTGTGGGAGTGCTGTCCTGGCTTCATGTCCTCCACCCCATGGCATGGCCACCCTCAGGGTACCCCCACCCCTGGGTGACCTCCTGCCCCGTTCAGCCCTCAGCAGTTCCTGTGGGAGAAGGAAGGAAGCCAAGTACCCCTGCAGAAAGGCCCAGACAACATCCTCATCATCCCCTCCTTCAACAAGACCCACTGTGGCACCTACATCTGCACAGCCACCGGCTCCCAGGGCAGCGTCGTGGCCACCTACGACCTGTGGATAGACGGTAGGGATGGGGTGACCTCAATCACAGGGGCAGCTGGGGGATGAGATTCTTCTCCTCCTTTCCCCACCTTGGCCCCAGCACGGTGTGGCCTGGATCACTATCACACGTGGCCAGCGTCACAGCCCACACGTGGCCAGAGTCACAGCCCGCACGTGGCCAGCCCTGGTGGCCCACTTCTGGGGCAGGTACCTCTGCCATCACACCCAGCCCCAGGTCCGGTGGTAGCCTCCTTGCTGGCGCGTTGCTTCGGCTGGACTCCTGCTTCCGCCTGGGGAATTAGGCTGGGCAGCACGCCCTGGCTCAGAGGGGCTGGGAGGTAGCCAGATGCCTTTGCTGTGACAGGAGCAGCCAACCCTTTCCTATCTCTCCCAGACCTCTTCAACAAAGTGTTCGTGTTTCCTCAAGAGACCAATGACTCCTACGTGCTCATTAAGGCAATGCCGGAGCAACCACTGCAGAACTTCACCGTGTGCCTGAGGTCCTACACAGACCTCACCCGGTCCTACAGCCTCTTCTCCTACGCCACCAAGGCCCAGGACAACGACATCGTCCTCATCAAACCCAGGCCCAGGGAGTACCAGCTGTACGTGGGGGGCAAGTTTGTGTCCTTCAGGGTCCCCGAGGACTCAATGGAGAGTGAACATATCTGCACCAGTTGGGAGTCTACCACCGGCATCGTGGGCTTTTGGTTCAATGGGAAGCGCTGGCCCTACAAGGGGCTGCAGAAAGGCTACCTTGTGAGCCACAAGGCAGTGATTGTGCTGGGGCAGGAGCAGAACTCCTATGGGGGTCTGTTTGATGCCAAGCAGTCCTTTGTAGGGGAGATCTCAGAGGTGTACATGTGGGATGTGGGGCTCACAACCAGACAGGTGATATCAGCCATGCGCAACTGGCCTATGGAAGCCCCCATCTTCGGCTGGAGAAACTTGCCCTACAAGATTGAAGGAGAGGTGTATCTGAAGCCCTGACGCAGCCCGGACCCTGCCTGGAGCCGCACAGAGGGCACAAGGCTGTTTGTCACCTCTACACTCCTGCTAACCTTTAGGGAAGCCATAATTGCCATGCAACCCTGCTGATGTCCCCCCTTCCCCTTCTGCCATTTGCAAGCCCCCATTGGCCACATGGCATCAAATTAAGAAATGGACATGAGCAAATAAATCACGGGCACATGGATGGCAGAAGTAAAACCAAGCCAGCACCTCCGTATCCATGCTTGGAGCCACTCCAGCAGAGCCAAGGGCACTCAGCCAGGGTAAATCCCCACTGCTTCTTCCTATTGCCACCCTCTCCTTCTCAGAGTGATTGGCACAGCGGGTGCCAGCACTGACAATCTCTCCACCACCCCATGGCGACCTTCGTACTCTAAGCCCAGCCTTTTCTGGGCTAACTACATCACCTCTCCAGGAAGAGCAGGCAGGAGAGACAGCTGATCTGGAATTACCACCTCTGGAGTGGATGGTGGCAAGCTGGGACGCATAAACAAGGTTTCTGGGAGAAAGGGGCCATGGCAAAATCTGCCCATTAGGGGGTCAAGCAAGGCCAGACTGGGGCTTCCCAAACCATTCATCCCTACTAAAAATGTCAGACATGCAGCATGATCTCTGTCATGCTCCATCTGGTCCCCTCCAACACTTGGGTGCTTTTGAAGGAGCCCCCATAGGCATCCACCTCACTTCCAGGGCAGTCACCAGCTCCGTCATAGCCCCTGGCAGCTCCCTTCTTGGGCGTGGGCTCTCCCGTCAGGCAATACCTGTGGCCAAACCCCATAACACACAGGTGGGTTCCCAAACGACAGCTACTGTCCACCCACACATACCTTGTACCCTTGGGTCTCTGCCCCGAGAGGTTGCTTTGGCCTGGTCAAGAGAAGCAGCTGTAGGGCCAGGTAAGATCTAGGTAGGATCTCCAGGATCTGGTGAAGCCCTACAGCAGCGATTCCAGCTTTATACTCAGCCCCACATAGGCCTCATCCATGTCTGGGTGAAACAAGGGCTGACACCCTTCGGCACGTACCCATGACGGGAACCGAAGGGCTCTACGGCAATGGGGGACCTCTGTACTGCAATACGGCCACACGTGGCTGGGCAGCGTGGTGTTAATCCCACTTGTCTCCTCTGTGGTGGGGAGGACAAGAGTCTCCAACACCTCTTCAGGAGCTGGACCTGGGAGCAGCAGGTGTGGACAGCTGCCCATGGGTAGGACTGTGGCCCCACCACAGCCATGGGACCTCAAAAGCCAGGAGCAGAGGGGTTTTGTGAGCCACAGCTCTGGCCACACTGTCAGGCCCAGCCGACACAGCCATGCCTGCTGGAGAAGAAAACCCCGTGCTGGGAGGCTTTATTCACACCAAAGCACTGGGAAATCCCATCCAGCAGCATTTTCTCATCGCCTTCCCCAAGCTAGGAAGGACAGGGAGCACTGGGCTGAGCATGCTGGGGCAGGGATGGCTTGCTTTGGCCGCTGTGTGGCCTGGACCTGGGATTCCCCGCAATATTTCTCCCCCTTCCTTTTTGCATTTTTTTTTAAATAAACACCATCGTCCATGCAGCCACCATATCCGAGAGCTTCAGCAGTCGGAGAGCCCAGCCGACACCCATCACCCACCTCTGCGCAGCTGCACCCAGCTCCTTGCCCACCTTAGCCCATGCTGGAGCCCATAAAACCCCCCACCTTTGTTTTAAAGTTTCTTGGCAGAGCTGCTGGCTTAGTGCCATTCACCTTGATTTAAAGGCCTGTCACAGTGGCAGTGGGAATTTCTATCAACCTCCCCTCGCCAAATTTTCCGGGTTTTGTTCCTGGCTAAAAGATAACGCTAATACAATGGGGTAACACTTGACTGCAATTGCATCCCTAAAAGCATCATCTTATAAAGGGGAAATTGAAGCAATATCTGCTTTGAAGAAAGAACAAGAAGGTGACAGCATTTGTAAGCTGAAATTTGGATTTGAGGAGAAAAATGTTTCCTCCGGTGCAAATTCCCCTTTTTAGCTGTGCATGCTCTACCCCCACAGGGACCCAGCAGCACCCCCGTGGCATCCTGCATTTTGAGCCTGTTCATGTCTTTCTTTGCATTTCTCTTAGCACACTGACCTCCTCGTCTTTCAGTGCACCAGTTTGCCCACACATGCCCAAAGTCCCCTCCATCAAAACCAGTTGCTGTTCCAATCGTGCATTTTTAAATAACATTTTCTTCCCCATAGCAAAGCTTTGAACAGTTTTTAATCCCACTTTAGTAGCCATCAGAGCAAAAAAGGACCCGTGTCTTGTTACTTTTCTGGAATAAAGCTTTCTTCATCTAGAGAAGAAAAGAGATGATTTAATCACAATCGTTGCTAACAAAAAGCATCATTCAGACGACATAAGCCGGGAAAACAGCCATTTTATTACCAGCCAGCCAGCACGGCAGCCTTTCGGTGCTATAAAATAATGCTGCAAGCCCATCCCTTGGGAGCGCCGTGCCCTGCTTCCTGCCAGCGGGACGCGAGGGAGAATTTCTGCCTTCCAGTGTGGCCGTCCCCAGGCGGGAACGTGGCAGCTCAGCCCAGTAGCGGGCACACCGGCCCCCGGCGCG